AAAAGGTTTGCTGTAGAGTTGCATTGAACCCCCTTCATTCTGATACCCCCAAATGAAAGCAAGTGCAACCAACACCCTTTGAGAAGTCGCCCCAGTTCACAGAGTTCCTAGGTAAAGTCTCACAGAAAGACCTGAGGCTGCAGCTGGCGGGCAGTTAAATTGTGTTCAACTATTTCCCAAGAATACAAAAGAAAAAAACACTGACAGGAAGAGTAGGGCCACACCTAAAGCAAGGTTATCGCCAAGACTTAGAGAAAGAGAGGAGGAAGAAAAAGATTTCCTATTTAGTCACATCACAAGGGAGCTTGCAAGGAGGAATTTAGCTGCTGAGCGTAGGGAGCTGACAGAAGTCGACAGAGAAGAAGAAGCAGATGCAAGAGAGGGAGTGGAAGCAGAGAGAGGAGGCAGACTCCTACTGTAGATCTCCACGGTATGTTCTCAAAGTGCCGAGTGACACTTCCCATCACCGTGTCAAGGGAACTGGAGCGTGCCAGCTCCGGCTCTCTCTCTCACCCGCTCTTGCATGCAGAGCAATTACCACATCTCTCCTCCCTCCCCACCTTCTTCCTTACAGTTCAGTGAAATCAGCCAGCAGACCTGTGACTCATCATTCGGAGTAATAGGCCTGTCCCACGTCGGCCTCGGGCGCCCTGCAGCTCGTAGGAGGCTTGAGGAGCACAAAGAGATCACTGAACACAGCGAAGGGGTCTCGCTATATGAGGCTGGCCATCATACATGACGCCTCCGTGCGTGACAATAATAATAACAATGAAAAGAGGCCACTTTACGGCGGCTTTGAGTGAAAGTTGTCGCTGCTCGCTGGAGGGCAGCATGTGGCAGCGAAATGTACAGCCGGCTCCTGATGGCGATCCAGCCTTCAAGAGGAAAAACAAACCAAAAGCGAGGCGTTCAGAAAAGGACCAACGTGTGACGAGCTGCTCTGTCAGTGTGAGCCACGTAAACCATTGTTCCAAGCAGCCTTGTGATGTGCACTAAAAAGGGGGTCGCAGTTGGTTGCTCTGGCAACCTTTCCATGAAGCCAGGCCTCCCTTTATTTTTTTATTTTTTCCCCCTCTCTCTATTTTTCTTTTTTGGGTATTTTACAGTAGTGAAGATCACCAAGCATCATCTGAGGAGGATCAGTAAGCGGGGGGGGGGGGGGGGGGGAGACCCTGAGACGGAGGGTGACCCGCTGAGTGCGGCCATTCCACTAGTCCCCCCCCCGACCCCCCTTCCCGCGCCCCCCCGACCCCCTGCTGTTGTTGTGTCACCACACGCAATGGCGTGGGAACGAGTTTATCATTGGGGGGGCCACACATCAGAAGCCTGATAGATCCGAAAATAGCTTGAGCAGAAATGGAAAAAAATAATGATGTCATCAATAAAGCGTTACTCTAATCTAACACATTAGATTTATAACAACTAATCTAAAAGTAATCAACTTACTTTTTCAAAGTATCAATGCCATCCCTGGTAATAAATGAACTACAGTGTCTGTCATACTTTTTTTTTTTTTATCTTAAGGTGGCACAAAAAAAATAAATCTTTTTCCACTTCCTCTTGAACATAATGGCTGGTCATTCCAAGACTATAGACTCACTTTCTCGCTTCCGTCACGGCGAGCAAGCTAAATACTCTGCTAGCACAAGCAAGTTTGCTACCAGATTTTCATATATTTTATTGGTCAGAAAACTTTTGATTATTGGTCGAAAATGCATCGATACAAGTTGACTGGGGTCCGCCGTCACTGTGACAAGGAGGGGTCGAGCCAATGACTGGAACATTGTCAACATATTTTGAACATTAAAAAATAAAAGTTAAAAACTGGACTAGAAATATCCTCCAGCAATGCCAATTCTGAGCTGCACCATTACCTGCTAAGTCCAGCAGTTTACAGCAGCATAATGTTGTGATGCAGGTCACATTTATCTGACTGACAGATGGATGCAGCCGGGCTGCTGACAGCGTGACTACACTTAAATGTTGTTGCTTCCTGTTGTTATTGCAAACACCAGGTCGGCCCTCGGCGTCTCAGAGGTCCGGTTCTGATCCTGACTGTCTTTCCCCATCTTGAGGGACAAATGATGAAGATCATCCTTCCTATTTAATTCCAGTAAAGATGCTTTTTTTATCAGTAGGCAAATGAGTTTTTAGTCAAATCTTGTTCCATTGAATTTAATTAAAAAAAACCCAAAACAACAGGTCAAAATTGGGATGAATTAAACATGAATGCAATTTTTAATCGTCCATGAAGAGAAACACCACACGTAACAGTTGCATCATCCGTGTTGCCAGAGACAATTGTTGTTGAAACGGCTCGTCTTCGTGACTCTTGGCAAATAAAAGGAGAACACACATTTGGTCCCTTTCCGTGGCTGTGAAGAGCCTGTCGGGGTAAACACATGCACGGTGGAACGCCTGTGTCACCCTGAATACCTCTCTGTGCAAGAACCTTTTCATTATTACTGGAACTGTGTGCGCTCCAAGGTACTGCTGCTGG